CGACACCGGATTCAAAAATTAGAATCTTTCAATTTAAATTATTATATAAAATTCTTGCTACCAATATAATGTTATTTATATGGGGGATACAATCTTCCCAGCTCTGCAGATTTTTCTGTGAAGATACAGAATCATTAGATCATTTGTTTTGGTTCTGTCCATTTGTAGCTTGTTTTTGGACACAGGTCCAGGAATGGCTAAAGGACTGTAATACTTTTAGCAAAAATGTTTATTTTTAATTCACAATCTGTAGAAGTAATGAGAATAGAAAGGTTCGGAACTTTTGTAAAAAATCACAGTACGGTTGAAATATATATGGCAAATAGAAATCCTATATGGATGGTGTTAAGAGATAGATGGGAGTTATTGAATAGAGTTGAAGGATGGGACTAATAACAAATAACAACAAATAATAACAAAGATAGCTAATAATGTAAGCATACTGTGTCCATAATAAGTATATAGGTTGTATGTTGGGAGCTTTTGGGAAAGAGCACAGTTAGAAAGATATGGCATATAGAAGCAAACCGGATGGACATCATGAAAATGATCGGAGAGGTTGAGAGTAGAAGTAGTTCAGGAGCAAATATATATATATATATATATATATATATATATATATATATATATATATATATATATATATATATATAATTATTGTAAAATTAACTCTGTCCATAAGGTGTAGATAGTAAGTATAGACCGGAAGTAGAGGCCTGGGCATTGTTGTTCACTAATTTACTCCAAGTAGGGAAAGGATGGCGGGGTTGAAAAGTAATAAAGGGGAGTATATATATAAAAAACATGGGGGATTGGAAGTGATGCAGACAATTACATTGATAGAAGATACAATCTATCTGCAATATTAAGCTGATCCACCCCCCCCCCACCAAAATAAATAAATAATAATTAATAAATAAATAAATAAGATGCACTATGCAGAAATCACTCCACCATTTCCTGGTTGCTAATATTCTAATAGTTCGCCTAATTTCAGTTTATGTAACAAAACAAACAAGTAGAGAATCATTGTACTATCTAAACCGCTGTGAAATATATTTTCCATAACCAAAAATATTTTATTTTAAGCTGTTTGAAGCTGGTTAGATAACGGAAAGTAAAAGATGCAAAAATGAAACTTAAGAATGGGAAGCATAGAAATGGAGCACATAGAATAGATCTACCACTTAGACTTGCTTTCAATGAGAATGACAGATCTATAACTCACATTTCTATGACCATTTATAAAACACTCTGACATAATTTACAAACTAAGCATCTGTGTTTAGTGAGTCCGGCAGATCAGAGGCAGTAGGGATGACCAGGGATGTTCTCTTGATAAGTGCATGAATGTGACAATTGTTTCCGGTCCTGCTAAGCACTGGAATGTTATGGAGTAGCCTAGCCTACTGTTGGGTGTCAGGGAAAATAAAGGCCTATTAAAAAGTACATTCAGTGCATTTGGAAAGTATTTACAGTTTGTTTTAGTTGTGTTTTGTGTTATGTTTTTGCCCAATAGGAACTGAATGGCAAAAATGCAACATTGGACTTCAGGAAAAATGTGCAGTAAGAAAACTGTGAAATTCTATAAATATCACATCAAAATGGATCAAAAGCATTTATATTTGATAGAAAATATTGTCTAATGATATATACAGTGTATTCGGAAATGATTCAGACCCCTTCCCTTTTTCCACATTTTGTTACCGTACAGCCTTATTATAAAATTGATTCATATTTTTTTTCCTCATCAATCTACACACAATACCCCATAATGACAAAGTGAAAACAGGTTTTTAGAATTTTTTGCAAATGTATAAAAATTACAAAACAGAAATACCTTATTTACATAAGTATTCAGACCCTTTGCTATGAGACTCGAAATTGAGCTCAGGTGCATCCTGTTTCCATTGATCATCCTTGAGATGTTTCTACAACTTGATTGGACTCCACATGCAGTAAATTCAATTGATTGGATATGGTTTGGAAAGGCACACACCTGTCTATATAAGGTCCCACAGTTGATAGTGCATGTCAGAGCAAAAACCAAGCCATGAGGTCGAAGGACTTGTCCATAGAGCTCCGAGACAGGATTGTGTCGAGGCACAGATCTGGGGAAGGGTAGAAAAAAATGTCTGCAGCATTGAAGTCCCCAAGAACACAGTTCCTCTGTGGAGATGGGAGAACCTTCCAGAACAACCATTTCTGCAGCACTCCACCACTCAGGCCTTTATGGTAGATTGGCTAGACGGAAGCCACTCCTCAGTAAAAGGCACATGACAGCCCGCTTGGAGTTTGCCAAAAGGCACCTAAAGGACTCTCAGACCATGAGAAACAAGATTCTCTGGTCTGATTTGAACCTGATCGAACATCTTTGGAGAGACCTGAGAATAGCTGTGCAGCGACGCTCCCCATCCAACCTGACAGAGCTTGAGAGGATCTGCAGAGAAGAATGGGAGAAACTCCCCAAATACAGGTGTGCCAAGCTTGTAGTGTCATATCCAATGAGACTCAAGGCAGTAATCGCTGCCAAAAGTGCTTCAACAAAGTACTGAGTAAAGGGTCTGAATACTTATGTAAATGTGATATTTCCGTTTTTTATTTTTAATACATTTGCAAACATTTCTATAAACCTGTTTTCGCTTTGTCATTTGGGGGGATTGTGTGTAGATTGATGAGGATTTTTTTTATTTATTCATTTTTATAATAAGGCTGTAAAGTAACAATGTGGCAAAAGTCAAGGGGTCTCAATACTTAAATAGTAGCCTACTTCAAATATATATTTTTACTTTGTTACTTTACACCACTGCAGTTATCAATGGGACTGTGCAAAGGCATCGCGGTAGGTCGGCTTCTACCTCAATTGACAGTGTCACTGTTGTACATGAAAATGCGCCACTGTTGGGACCGACGCAGCCCGGTGCCACCACCACCGCAACAATAGGGAGGGACATCGATAAATTCGCAGTCCGGGACATTTTTGTGGAAGGTTATAGCCTAATTACAAAATACTTGGGAATAGGAAGTGTTCCTTAGTCTGCTTGGGTGGTTTATTTAATATATAGCCTGTTCAATGTTGTTCCATTCAATCACATACCGGTAGTTTTTATTCTGATGGTACATTTTTCATGTTGATGATCGCACACACTTCATGCCCATTGGAACGGAGTTGCATTCGCAGTCGTTTCAACGGATGGGCAAAACTGCGGCGAATAGATTTGGACAACAACAACATATTCGTTATATTGTCATTGTGGCATAAATCTAATCTAATCTATTCAACCTGAGATAGAGACAGACAGACGGGCAGATAGCCTACGCCCAGTTAATGTCAATTCGATATGAACCTCCAACCTGGATCCCCCACAGGTGCAAGAAAGCTTTTATGAAAACATTTAACGGAATAAAAACCCTATAGACGCACTTACCGCTTTGGAGATTTGTTCAGTGCTTATATCTGACAGTGGAACGCGTTACCATCCCAAACGGCATGCTGCTTGCTGTGTTTTTATGATCTGTTATCTCGGATGCTCTGCTCAACGCAGTCTCGTCTCCACCTCTCCTCCCCCGCCCGACGCTGTCTGCAACAGACATCCATGGCGCGTCGCTGTCTCGGTGATCTATAGCTGCAGTCATTGGCGGATGCAGGCATGGGATCGCGGCGGGAAGTTTTACCACCTCCCTCATGTAAACTTCACGTTTACACTGTAATTATTCTGCCTATTACATAAATTAGTTGTGATATAGGCCCTATACATGCTTTCAGATGTAATAAAATGCAGGCTATCAATTGGATAAATATTTTATTCGTAGCCTTATTGAATATGATAATTGAATAGGCTCTAACAGGGTATAATGTAATATAATATAATAGCCTATAATATACTGTACTATAAAGTTCAAGAAGATATGTGATGGACAGCTCAACAAGGTCAGGGTTATAAAAAAAATAATCAAGCAATGATTTATTAGATTAGCCTTATTACAACATGATTCATATATATTCTGTCACTAATATAGTTTTCCAAAAAGTATTCTATCTCATTCAACCCAGACTATCCAATATGGTAGGGTTAAATCCCCAAATTCCATAAATTGTAATTATAGATGTCTGTTTGATGCCCATGTACACAATCTGGACAGAAGTCAGTGATTATTGTGCTCTCTGTGTAAGATCAGTAATTCTGCATCAGTGATGGCCAACACAACCAAGGGGACATCCTTTTATATGGTGTTAGTTATTGTACATACACTGAGTGTACAAAACATTAAGAACACCTTCCTAATATTGAGTTGCACCCCCTTTTCCCCTCAGAACAGCCTCAGTTCGTCGGGGCATGGCCTCTACAAGGTGTCGAAAGCGTTCTACAGGGATGGTGGCCCATGTTGACTCCAATTCTTCACAAAGTTGTGTCAAGTTGGCTGGATGTCTATTGAGTGGTTGACCACTCTTGATACACACGGGGAAACTGTTAAGTGTGAAAAACCAAGCAGCGTTGCAGTTCTTGACACAAACCAGTGCGCCTGGCACCTACCACCATACCCCGTTCAAATGCACATCAATATTTTGTCTTGCCCATTCACCCTCTGAATAGCACACATACACAATCCATGTCTCAATTTGTCACAAGGCTTAAAAATCCTTCTTTAACCTGTCTCATCCCCTTCATCTACACTGATTGAAGTGGATGTAATAAGTGGCATCAATAAGGGATCATAGTTTGTCCCTGGATTCACCTGGTCAGTCTATGTCGTGGAAAGAGCAGGTGTTCCTAATGTTTTGTGTTTGTCTCTGTGTCTTATTCGGTTGCTCCCAGTCCACATAGTCCACATTTGGTTTATTGTGGATATCCTTCAAAAACTGCATTGTAGTAAGTAACAAGTCATATGTTTGATTTGTATGACTGTGGTTGTATCCCAAATGGCACCCTATTCCCTATAATATTGTAATACTTTTGGCCCATAGGGCTCTTGTCAAAAGTAGCACACTATATGGGAATAGGGTGCCATTTGGGACACATATTACCCCAGGTAGACAGATTAATCCATCGTATGATAAGGACAGATGGTGAAATCCTTAATTCTCAGACTGATGGACTGTAGTTGGTCAGAATGATCAGTCCAATCCAGACTCTGTATCCAGAGTATCCATTGGTCAGCTCCATAGAACACAGGAGGTCATTATGAATGGACTCATTCCAAAATCCACTAAAGGTTTCTAAGAGACTATTTCATTCCAGAAAATTGCTCCCTCTCTTCTGGCCTTGTTCACTTCCCTTTGTTGACATGAGAAAACTGGGTGGTCCAGCTATAGCTTCTACAATATTGCTTTGACCTATCCAGTCCCGTCCTATTGGATCAGTGAAGGACATTGAACAAGGACAGACTTAAAAAAAACTCAAACCCATCTCAGTCGGCCAGAGGCATCGAGACAGGACAAATGACGAGCGGCGCCTCGTTCCTGCCAGACTTATTGGTGCATGGGCTGAAGAAGGGATGAATGGCATCTGAGAAGCTGTCGGTGAACGTATAAATGAGCATCTTAGCGTCCACGTTATAGAACGACACCTGTCCCTTATCGCAGTCTACGTAGATCCCTATCCGGTTGGGTTTGTGGTTGAGGCCCAGCGCTGTCGACGGTTCAGTTCGGAACGCGTAGTCATTATTATCCCGGAGGCTCAGGAACCAGTAGCCGTGGGCGGGGCTTACTGTGATCTTCCCTTTCCTGTTGATGGAGTGGCTAGCCACGCCCAGGTCCCAGTCCGTCTTCCCACCCACCTCCACCTACAATACAATACGATAACTTTATTGTCCATTTAAATCCATTTTGTGAGGTCAGAATACAAATCAATACACTGCAGTACAACATCATGTAATACAACAACACTGTAAAGTGAGTACATATATATTCAAATAGTCCTTGGCATTCAGCCCCACCATCTATCGGGCCCCATTATGACCTATGACCTGATGGCTCTGTTGGAATGAAACCCTGCTTCTGTTCTCACCTCCCAGTAATGGCGTCCCGAAGTGAAGGCCTGGCGCCCGAGGACGCAGACCACACGGTCAAAGCGCTCGGGGCCGTCCAGCACGGGCTGGTAGCGGTCGCTGCAGCGCACCTGCTTGCCGTCGTCGGAGATGAGCAGGCGGGGGTGAGCGGTGAGAGGGTCCAGGGTTACATCCACTGAGAGGGAGAGGAGAGGAGAGGGTGAGGTAGAAGGGGAGGGGGGCAGAGAGAGAAACACACAGAGACACAAAGGGGGAGGAGAAGTCATCAGTCACCAATGAAGAGTTCAATCAGCAGTTTTGTGTCTATATTTAGCGATGATGTGCTTGACACATGAACACAGAGAACATGATACAGGAAGAAGGAAGTACATACCTGCATATTCCTGCACTCTCCTCACCTCTGGATCGAGAGAGAGAGAGAGAGAGAGAGAGAGAGAGCGAGAGAGAGAGAGGTGTTAAACCATCTAACCCCTGATCATATACTGTATGTATTATCACACATGACTGGGACTTTGAGTTAATAAATTAATCAAAGCCTTACTTGGATTTACATATCTTCCCACTGACTGTTCTAGTCGAGGTTGAGAAAGCCAATCTGGCCAAACAAAAGAGAATAAATGTAATTATACAACGGGTGGGTATAATCCTGAATGCTGATTGGTTAAAAGCGTATTCCAGCCGGTGTCTATTCCACACATTAGCACCAGCTAAATATATTACGTTAAAATGACTCTTTACTCTGTTCCATCTGACTGCGCAATCCACTGTCTCATCAGCCCAGCCATGCACTTTATAAACTTGATCTCAACTATAAAAAGCATCTAGACATTATCCCACATTTCTTTTAGACTAACATTTAGTTTTCAACAGCTGAGATTTGTATAAACCTTGCTGTCTGTCTCTCCGACATTTGCAACATTGTTTCAATATTCAAATTCGATCTCCAACTGTCCCATAGTAATGAACGTGTAGGGGTCGGTAGGAGAGAGAGAGGCAGGCAGCGTTTCTCAGCCAGTCAAAATCATGAATCAGCTGGCTTCATTTTTATGGATATGTACAAAGAAATGTAAATTGAAAAAATGTCAAACGAAACAAAGTGCAGCTAGTTTGCAGTCTTTCCAGCTTCAGTTTGAAGTTATAGTGTTAGCTGTGTTGTTGGCTAGCTCCTCTGAAGAACAGTGTCCTGACGAGAGAGCACATTTTCTATGCCAGGCAGAATTGCGCCTTATTAGTTCATTGTTATGTATGTCTCCAAATAAATGTATCTAGAAAACAGCTTAAACAAATGCAGCAACTGTTGTTATTCTGGCTGCACTGTTTGACGTGACTGTAAATTAGCCGTAGTTGGGTAGCTAGCAAGGAAGGGATAAGAACATTGCCAGCCAGTATGGCAATGGAACATTTAGAACGAACGACTGGGTCACGTCTATAGATACAGAACAAAAAGACTGAATGACTGGGTCGCGTCTATAGATACAGAACAAAAAGACTGAACGACTGGGTCACGTCTATAGATACAGAACAAAAAGACTGAATGACTGGGTCGCGTCCATAGATACACAACAAAAAGACTGAACGACTGGGTCACGTCTATAGATACAGAACAAAAAGACTGAACGACTGGGTCACGTCTATAGATACAGAACAAAAAGACTGAACGACTGGGTCGCGTCTATGGCAACCGAACCGATAGAACGAACGACCAGCCGGTTTGGGTAGCAACCCTAGATTTGTTTCGGGACTATATCTTGTTGAAGGACGAAATAGTATGAATAAATTCATCAAGATGACGTTTTTAATGAAAATATGTCAATCATTATTTGAATATGTTGGTAACCCGTTGTATAAAAGTTATAATGCCCTCGAAGCAGGTGTTTGGAGGATATATTGGAATGGTTTGCCAGCCCTCGACTTCGTCTCAGGCCTAACAACCCAAGTGCCAATATATTCTCCAAACACCTGCTTCGAGGGCATTATCACTTTTATACAACGGGACGCGTAGTATGTACGACATATATTCTTGGGCATTATCACTTAATTAGACACTGTATGTATCATTGGTTATTACACATATGGGATGGGCCTGCGAGTAGTACAGAAACATGAATGAATCCATACCTGGACTATATCTTCCTACAGATTGTTCTGGTGGAGGTGGAGAACGCAAACCTGCCAAAACAATATCATAAAATCAAGTACAGTATTATTATTAGAGACACATAGGATGGGATGAGTATGACAGAAGCAGCCGTGAATTAATACAAATCTTACTTGGACTACATCTTCCCAGGGACTGGTTTGGTTGAGAAGGCAAATCTGGCCAAACAAAACAGAGTACAGGAAATCAATGACTGTATGCATTGTTAGACATACTGTATGTTGGGTCTGTGAGTGTGACAGAGACATGAATGTTATCTTGGACTTACTTGGACTATTTCTTCCTACAGCATGGTTTGGTTGAGAAAGCAAACCTGACCAAAAAAAATAGAATATATCCAATCAAATACTGGACAGATTATTAGACACACAGAATGGGATGAGCTGGGACTTTGAGTGTGACGAAGGCATGAATGAAAACCGTACTTGGACTATATCTTCCCACGGATTGGTCCGGTTGAGGTTGAGGACGCAAACCTGGCCAAACATAAGAGTATACATAATTAAATATTAGACACATATTAGATCATAAACTAATTAGATACAGATGGGATGGTACTTTGAGTGTGTAAACCTTACCTGGAATATATGTCCCTACGGATTGGTCTGGTTGAGGTTGAGGTTGAGGATGCAGACCTGGCCAACAAAAGACAATGCAGTGTAATGGTCTATAGGTTCTCAACTGGTTTTAATTATATGACAAGGGAACAACATTCCCACCTCATTGTCAATAAATACATTTTGTCCATATTCTTGATGAAGAATGTTAATATACTCTCTGGTTTGAGACCACAAATCCAACCAAAATAGTGCTGCTAATAGCTCTATATTAAAAATACTGTGATTGAAGACAAATTGTTTAAAAATGTAAGTTCATTATCATTTCTACACACTTTCTACCTGGTTTAAGTCGTTTAAGTTCAGTTTTTTAATTTTTTTATTTTACTCACACACACACAAACACAACACACTCAAAACCTCCTGCGACCTAAATTGAGGTCGCGACCCACCAGTTGAGAATCGCTGTTCTACATTGTAGCCTAGTAGTGTTCATAAAGTAGAGTTAAACCGTCACAACACTACAGCATTGGGGCTATTCTCTGTGTCACTTGCAACAACACAGCGGGCAAAAGTGGTGGAATCTTGACGTCTTTCAACCACTTTTGCCCGCTGGGAAAAAGATTAGCATAACTGATAGTACTCATAGATAGAATATATAGGAGATCTACAATGGTCAACCATAACTCACAGATCTCCGGCAGTCTCTTGAGCTCCGCCCGAAAGCGCTCCACCATTTGATTGACAGTCAGAAGCACCGACCCCGAGCTGAGGTCAGAGGTCACGACAGCGTCCGACCAATCCCTGGTCTGAGGCGGGGTGGAGAGGGCGGGGAATGTCTGAGAAGAGGAAGAAAGAGAGAGAGAGAAAAAAAGAGAGAAATAAGAGAACAGAGGAATAAATGAATTAGAAAATAACATGTAGTAAGATATATATATGGTAGATATATATATATATATATCTACCATATATATATATATATATATATATATATGGTAGATATATAATTTATATATATATATATATATAGTATATATATAATTTATAGCTATATATATAGTAGATATATAATTTTTAGCTATATATATAGTAGATATATAATTAAAAAAGAAGAGAATAGGAAAAGTACCTCTTACCTTGTAGCTAAGATAAATTATGAAGAAAAGTTTGGGAAGAAGGTAGAAAAGGTTGGGAAAAGGGTAGAAAAGGTTGGGAAAAGGGTAGAAAACGTTGGGAAAAAATGAAGAAAAAAGCAAGAAATTGATGTGATGAACAGAAAGAGCAGTCTAACTTTGAAGAAGAGTACGTAGTCGTCAGACTGGGCTAGCTGGGTGAGGCTGGCGCTTCTCTTCCTCAGCTCAGAGATCTCCTACAATAGGAAAGAAAAGATGAGAAATACTCTATTATTAATAATCCCAGAGGGAAACGGGTTTGTCAATCATAGCAGCAACACAGTCACAAAGACAAAAGACAATCAACAAGATCAGTAGTAAAAAAAAACATAGCAGCATTAATTTATTTAATTGTTCACCTACCCTACAGAAGATGTAAATGAGTTGTGTAGCCAAATATAGTACAATGCATCACGTCTTGTGAGATTTAAGTTTTAATTGTACATGGTCCCTTATGAAAGAATAATATTGTGTTGATGGATAATTCTTGTGTATTGTGTATACAAGGATTGTAAATTGTATAAAATAATTCACCCTTCGCTGCTATTGATATCACTGTCCTCTTAATGAAATAAACCATTCTCTCTGAAATAAACCATTATCTCAAATGAAATAAATGAAAAAAAAGAGACCTGCTCCAGGTCTCTGATGAGGCTCTGTCCTCGGTGCTGTGCAGCCCGCTGTGACATCTCTATCACCTCCAGAATCTCTGCCTGGCTCCTCTCCACAGAACTCACCAGGGCAGAGAACACATGCATGCTGCCCGCCGTCTCATGTTCCGCACACGCCTGGGGAGAGAGGGAGAGGGGGCTGATGATGATGAGAGAGAGAGGAACGAGAGAGAGAGACAGAGGAAAGAGAGAAAGAGAGAGAGAGGAAATAGAGAGAGAAAGAGAGAGGAAAGAGGGAGGAAAGAGAGAGGGACAGACAGAGAGAAACAGAGAGAGACAGAGAGACAGAGACAGACAGAGAGACAGAGACAGAGAGAGAGAGACAGAGACAGAGAGAGAGAGAGAGAGAGAGAGAGAGACAGACAGACACAGAGACAGAGAGAGAGAGAGAGAGAGAGAGAGAGAGAGAGAGAGAGAGAGAGAGAGAGAGAGAGAGAGCGAGAGAGAGAGACAGAGATAGAGACAGAGACAGAGACAGAGACAGAGACAGAGAGACAGAGAGACAGAGAGAGAGAGAGAGAGAGACAGACAGAGAGACAACCTATTTGTGTGTATGTGTGTATGTGTGTGTATACTGTGTCTGTCTGTGTTTGTCTCTGTGTGTGTGTACTATGTATGTGTGTGTGTTCCAGAGACCCACCTGTATGTCCTCCAGGGATGTCCTGATCTCCTCCACCTTCCTCTCTCTCTCTGTGATCATGTCCCTCAGCTCCACCTCTGTCAGGCCCAACTGAGACTGCAGACATAAACAGACCAGAGTCAACACACAGCAAAGTATTTATTCCTTATTCCTAGTATGTACATATCTACCTCAGTTACCTCGTACCCCTGCACATCAACTCGGTACTGGTACCCCGTGTATATAGCCAAGTTATCATTACTCATTGTGAATTTATTATTACTTTTATTATTACGTGTTTTACTTTTCTATTATTTCTCTATTTTCTTTCTCTCTGCATTGTTGGGAACGGCCTGTAAGTCAGCATTTCACTGTTAGGCTATACGTGTTGCTTACAAAGCATGTGATTAACACAATTTGATTTGAACAATGTTTCAAACACCCAGGTTATTTTGTGTAGACTGTCTCCATAGCTAAGGTTTGTACAGTATGTGTTCATTTCACTTCATTAATGCAATCAAATCTACAGTAGTAGCATTGCAATTGGAGTTTCCTACAACTCCACCAGAATTAGTTCACACATATGTTTCTCCATCGCTGTCCCACTCCCTACCTTCTTGATGAGCCATTCTCTCTTGGCAGGTATAACCTGGTGTCCATGGTGCTCTCCCTCCAAACACGCGGCACACACACACGTCTGGTCCGTCCGGCAGAAGAACTCCAGCCCCCTCTGGTGTTCAGGACAGAGAGGCGCGTTGAAGGAGGAATCAGCCGGCCCGCTCAGGGTGTACCTCCGTGGGGCGACAGGAGGGGCGGTGGTGTTGGAGGAGAAGGGTGAGGGCGGGTGGGGGCGGAGGACGGGCGGAGGGGTTCTGGAGTTCGAAGGTCGTTGGAACCTGGTCTTCATCTCCAAAAACAAATCCCCAGGCATCCCACCCATCCCTGGGGGTCTTGGGAGGACCGGAGGACGCTCAACCCCGTTTGACACACCCTCATTACCACCGCCACCCCCACCTTGACTCCCAACCCCTCCTTCCATCACCATGGCCCCCCCGTCCAATCCGTCGGCCATCTTCTTAAACTGCTCGGTGATCTCCTTCAGGGTGTGGTTGATGTGAAGGTCCGGCCTCTTCCTGAAGCTCTCCTTACACAGTGGGCACACACACGTCTTCCCTCCTCCTCCTTTAACAACAAGTTACAGTTCATTCAATTAATTCACATGGCAAAATACAACTGATCTCTGAATGGTGACGTGATGTTTAACAGAAGAAATACGCCTACTAATAGAAAACGAACTAACACACAATAACGTTTAATGTACGTAAGTTGTTGCATGTACAGTATATATGTAAACATACAAACAAATGTACATTTATATTTCAGGTAGTGTACAGTACACACAAAGCCACAATACAGTGCTATGAAAAAGTATTTGCCCCCTTTCTAATTTTCTCTACTTTTGCATATTTGTGATACTGAATGTTTTCAGATCTTCAACCAAAACCTAATATTAGATAAAGGGAACATGAGTGAACAAATAACACAACAATTACATATTTATTTCATAAACAATGTTATGCAACACCCAATTCCCCTGTGTGAAAAAGTAATTGCCCCCTTACACTCAATAACTGGTTGTGCCACCTTTAGCTGCAATGACTCCAACCAAATGCTTCCTGTAGTTGTTGATCAGTCTCTCACGTCGCTGTGGAGGAATTTTGGCCCACTCTTCCATGCAGAACTGCTTTAACTCAGTGACATGTTGGTTTTCAAGCATGAACTGCTCGTTTCAAGTCCTGCCACAACATCTCAATTGGGATTAGGTCTGGACTTTGACTAGGCCATTCCAAAACTTCCAATTTGTTGCTTTTTAGCAATTTTCAGATAGACTTGATTGTGTGTTTTGGATCATTGTCTTGCTGCATGACCCAGCTGCCCTTCAGCTTCAGCTCACAGACGGATGGTCTGACATTCTCCTGTAGAATTCTCTGATACAGAGCAGAATTCATGGTTCCTTCTATTAAGGCAAGTCGTCCAGGTCCTGAGGCAGCAAAGCATCCCCAAACCATCACACCACCACCACCATGCTTGACCTTTGGTATGATGTTCTTACTGTGGGATGCAGTGTTTGGTTTTCGCCAGGCATAATGGGACCCATCTCGTCCAAAAAGTTGACAAAAATTTGCCAAAAAGCACCTGGATGATCATCAAGACTCTTGGAAGAACGTTCTATGGACAGATGATTCAAAAGTATAACTTTTTGGACGACATGGTTCCGGTAATGCCTGGCGAAAACCAAACACTGCATTCCACAGTAAGAGCATCATACCAAAGGTCAAGCATGGTGGTGGTGGTGTGATGGTTTGGGGATGCTTTGCTGCCTCAGGACCTGGACGACTTGCCTTAATTGAAGGAACCATGAATTCTGCTCTGTATCATAGAATTCTACAGGAGAATGTCAGACCATCCGTCTGTGAGCTGAAGCTGAAGCGCAGCTGGGTCATGCAGCAAGACAATGATCCAAAACACACAATCAAGTCTACATGAAAATTGCTAAAAAGCAACAAATCTGAAGTTTTGGAATGGCCTAGTCAAAGTCCAGACCTAATCCCAATTGAGATGTTGTGGCAGGACTTGAAACGAGCAGTTCATGCTTGAAAACCCACATGTCACTGAGTTAAAGCAGTTCTGCATGGAAGAGTGGGCCAAAATTCCTCCACAGCGACGTGAGAGACTGATCAACAACTACAGGAAGCATTTGGTTGGAGTCATTGCAGCTAAAGGTGGCACAACCAGTTACTGAGTGTAAGGGGGCAATTACTTTTTCACACAGGGGAATTGGGTGTTGCATAACTTTGTTTATGAAGTAAATTAAATAAATACGTAATTGTTGTGTTATTTGTTCACTTATGTTCCCTTTATCTAATATTAGGTTGTGGTTGAAGATCTGATAACATTCAGTATTACAAATATGCAAAAGTAGAGAAAATTAGAAAGGGGGCAAAAACTTTTTCATAGCACGGTACATACCGTCCCAGTATGTGGAGATGCAGTCCAGACAGTAGCTGTGTCCACAGGGTGTGGAGACTGGGTTGGTGAACACATCCAGGCAGATGGAACAGATGAACTGGTCCTCAGAGAGGAAGCCACCTGGCCCGGAGAGAGCCATCCTGGGGGAAACGCTAGGGCTAGTGGTCTGGAGCTCTGCAGCTAGGGGATAACAGAACACAAGAGTTAGGTGTCATTAAAGAGTTTGTTGAGAGGAAGCCGCCCAGCCCAGAGAGAGCCATGCTGGGGCTGGGGAGACAGTAGGGCTGGCTGGTAGGGCTAGTGGTCTGGAGCTCTGCTGGGGAGACTGTAGGGCTGGCTGGTAGGGCTAGTGGTCTGGAGCTCTGCTGGGGAGACTCTAGGGCTGGCTGGTAGGGCTAGTGGTCTGGAGCTCTGCTGGGGAGAATGTAGGGCTGGCTGGTAGGGCTAGTGGTCTGGAGCTCTGCTGGGGAGAATGTAGGGCTGGCTGGTAGGGCTAGTGGTCTGGAGCTCTGCTGGGGAGACTGTAGGGCTGGCTGGTAGGGCTAGTGGTCTGGAGCTCTGCTGGGGAGACTCTAGGGCTGGCTGGTAGGGCTAGTGGTCTGGAGCTCTGCTGGGGAGAATGTAGGGCTGGCTGGTAGGGCTAGTGGTCTGGAGCTCTGCTGGGGAGACTGTAGGGCTGGCTGGTAGGGCTAGTGGTCTGGAGCTCTGCTGGGGAGACTGTAGGACTAGCTGGTAGGGCTAGTGGTCTGGAGCTCTGCTGGGGAGAATGTAGGGCTGGCTGGTAGGGCTAGTGGTCTGGAGCTCTGCTGGGGAGACTGTAGGGCTGGCTGGTAGGGCTAGTGTTCTGGAGCTCTGCTGGGGAGACTGTAGGGCTGGCTGGTAGGGCTAGTGTTCTGGAGCTCTGCTGAGGAGACTGTAGGGCTGGCTGGTAGGCCTAGTGGTCTGGAGCTCTGCTGGGGAGACTGTAGGGCTGGCTGGTAGGGCTAGTGGCCTGGAGCTCTGCTGGGGAGACTGTAGGGCTGGCTGCTAGGGCTAGTGGTCTGGAGCTCTGCAGCTAGGGGGAAGGAGCGCACAGGTATTAGGTGGAGCGAGAGTGTGTAAATGTCCCTTTAGTTTAGGTACACACACACACCCTGTGTCCTCCACAGAGGAACACTTGTCTCAGTCAAGCATGGCTGCCTGTGCGATAAGGTAGAAGAATGTGGTCTGTGCACTCTGAATGACCTTTACCCTACTTACACACTGTAGGCCTGCACCTGTCACATCAGAGAGCACCGTGAAACAGCTTACGAAGATGAACAGAGATAAACCATCTCTTACATTGTTGTTCCTGCAGCACAGAGGCGACCTCGACCAGCGCTGACACTGTAGCCTATTGTAGCATCGTAAAAACGCAACAACATGGTCTGGTTGGAGAAAAAAAAGGATCAATAGTCTTTTATGCTATTGTTAGGCCACAGGCTCTGCGTGACAGGAAACGTCTTTAAAACATGCACTATAATTAGGCAATATGTTTAAAACACAAAACAAGTATCTGCAAGTCATTGTCACTTACTCATTCCCTCTCTGTAAGCCTAAGCTGCTGTTTGGGGCTCACACAATGTTACTTTCACACAACACCACCCAGGCTATAAGAAATGCCATTTAGCAGACGCTTTTATCCAAAGCGACTTACAGTCATGCGACTTACAGTCATGCGTGCATACATTATGTCATGACCACCCAGGCTATGTCATGACCACCCAGGCTATGTCATGACCACCCAGGCTATGTCATGGTCCTATTACTTAGAATTATCTTTCATTTGTTTATGGTTAACGTCATCAGCCATACTAGGGTGACCACATGTAAAATACCCAAACGTCAGCACCCCACACACACACACACACAGTGTAGTGCACATGTTTTAGGTGCCGGAGAGCAATACACATTTAAATGACATCATCATTTCTCAACGTTTGTACCGACAGACATAGCCTATTGAATATCATTATATAATAAAATGCATCCTCCAATTGCACCGTCTGCCTACGCCACACAAATTGTCTCAAGAAAAACATTTATATTTTTAATACCCTGAAACACCAAGTTAGGCATACCTAATTTCCAAAATAGGCCATGGCATCATCACTGTCAATTATGAATGAGAATTCTTCACGTTTTACCAATGAAATGTCCAAACTGCGTCTGCATACCAATCATTTGATCTCAAACAGTTTCATGAGAACACTGAAACTCTAAAATGCTAATTGGAGAACAGCAAAAATAAGCAAAAATGACCCCAGCCATTATCACCTTGGTTACTGTAGCTTCATTCACCTCAGTCGATCTACAAACACATAGCTATACAATTAGCCACTACACATTAACTCACATTAACTCAGGACTGGGATTGAAACTATAATTTAATAAGTACAGAGAGATGACAAATTAATTTGCTTTACAGAACATAATTTTTTGTTGCAGTTTTACAGCTAATTTCCGGCAACTGTACACATTTTGCCATGACTTATGCCATGTGATTATGATATCTGAGTGAGAGTCACTAATTAAATCAATGGGAACCCCCTGGAGGTCAGGGCCCCTGGGCTGGTGTTGTGCGTGCCCGGGCAGTAATTCGGTCGTTTAGATAGCTAGACTAACTAGACACATTTTCAAAATCACACTTCTTGTAAGTAGTTAGGGTTAACTGTTCTCTCCAAGGTTAACTGGAATTTTGCCATGAGGATTAGAAAAATATTATTGGTTGACCATAGGCCTACGACATTGGCCTATGTCATGTCTTGCGCTGCGCAGAATATTAGATCTCAAAAACGATAGAAGAACACGTGTTTAACATCACCAGTAGGTTTAGGCTACCACATCCAAACCATATTATATATATTTCCATAAGCGCAACGTGACTGCAAGTGACAGGTCGGAATGTCTGACTGAATTATGGGACAAATCAACCCCCCCCCCCCCCCCCCCTAAATTAGTGGTGTTTGAATTTGTTGATAAAATGCAGGTCATGATTGACTGTCCCGCACAATTTTTACATTTTACACATTTAGCAGACGCTCTTATCCAGAGCGACTTACAGTTAGTGAATACATATTTATTTATTTTTATACTGGCCCCCCGTGGGAATCGAACCCACAACCCTGGCGTTGCAAACGCCATGCTCTATCAACTGAGCTACATCCCTGCCGGCCATTCCCTCCCCTACCCTGGACGACGCTGGGCCAATTGTGCGCCGCCCATGAGTCTCCCGGTCGCGGAAACTTGATATCAGTTTGTTCAAAGAGGTTGGGGAACGTTAGCGACCTCGCAAACAAAATGCAAATCAAACAAAATGCGGCGTCATGTCAGCAGAAGTTGTAGGTGCTTTTAAGACAACTGGGAAGTGGGAACAATGAAAAAAATGAGGTCATATCATGACGTTGGTGATCTTCAGGTTGGAACGTCGGAGCTCTAGAAAGATGCCCGAGTTCCCGACTTGGAATTCCGAGTTGGATGACAGTTAAAAACTATATTTCCCAGTCGGATATCCCAAGTACCCAGCTGTCTTGAAAGCACTGAAGTCGAAAATTGAAGCATTCCGAGTTCGCAGTTGTTTTGAATACAGCATAAATTCCCTCCTGTTTTTTCGCAGCAATAGGTGTCTTCATAACGACAATCTAAATAGGCTACGACTGCTAAAATTGCTTTACCTTGTTCTCTGCATTTCTCTGTTTGTTATTGGTTCATCACACCGAATTATTTAATCTGAACTATAGAAGTGATTTATAGTGAATGGTTAAAACATGTTTTTTCAGAAAACATTATTGTGAAATGATATTATGGTGGTCCTCTGTAGCTCAGCTGGTAGAGCACGGCGCTTGTAACGCCAAGGTAGTGGGTTCGATCCCCAGGACCACCCATACACAAAAATGTATGCATGCATGACTGTAAGTCGCTTTGGATAAAAGCGTCTGCATAATGGCATATTATTAATAGAAGTCACAATGCTCTAAAATAATCATATTCTTAACTGGAGTAATACATCAAATTAATGTGTGGCTCCAGGCTGCAAGATGGAAATGTAAAGAGCGAGAGATCCATAAAGAGTCAAGTATATCAAGAGAGTTTTATTCTACTATTAATCAATCAATCACTAGCCTATTATAATTAGACCGTCCGTAGTGGAGTTAATCGGTTCCTCTGTCCTCACCTCTGTGCGCCGATCTCTCTCTCCTCTTACTTCAACTTTCTGACCGATGTTATCTTGCTTGCTGCATACAGTACCAGTCAAAAGTTTGGACACACCTACTCATTCCAGGGTTTTTATTTATTTGATGGTCCCACTAAGCCCAAACCAGTTGGGATGGCGTATCGCTGCAGAATGCTATGGTAACCATGCTGGTTATGTGTGCCTTGAATTCGAAATAAATCACAGACAGTGTCACCAGCAAAGCAGCCCCACACCATAACACCTCCTCCTCCATACGTTACGGTGGGAAATACACATGCGGAGATCATCCGTTCACCCACACCGCGTCTCACAAAGACACAGCAGTTGGAACCAAAAATCTCCAATTTGGACTCCAGACCAAAGGACACATTTCCACCAGTCTAATGTCCATTGCTTGTGTTTCTTGGCCCAAGCAAGTCTCTTCTTCTTATTTGTGTCCTTTAGTAGTGGTTTCTTTGCAGCAATTCGACCATGAATGCCTGATTCACACAGTCTCCTCTGAACAGTTGATGTTGACATGTGTCTGTTACTTGAACTCTGTGAAGCAGTTATTTGGACTACAATATCTGAGGCTGGTAACTCTAATGAACTTATCCTCTGCAGCAGAGGTAACTCTGGGTCTTCCATTCCTGTGGTGGTTCTCATGATAGCCAGTTACATCATAGCGCTTGATGTTTTTTGCGACTGCACTTGAAGAAACTTTCTTGTTCTTGAAATGTTCCGTATTGATTGACCTTCATGTCTTAAAGTAATGATGGACCGTCATTTCTCTTTGCTTATTTGAGCTGTTCTTGCCATAATATGGACTTTTACCAAATAGGGCTATCTTCTGTATACCCACCCTACCTTGTCATAACACAACTGATTGGCTCAAACGGATTAAGAAGGAAATCAATTCCACAAATCAACTTTTAAGATGGCACACCTGAAATTTCTGAGGCTGGAAACTGTAACTTATCCTCTGCAG